GGATGCCACGCTTTGAACGCTCAGCGCTTTCGAGTTAGTCCGAAGTACTCCAGCTACAATTTTACACATTCGAGCGAACAGAGTTTGGCGCTCTCACTTTCCTCGCCTGTTTCCCCTGATGCACCTGTAACTGATTTTCAAGCGTTCGAGTGCAAAGCGCATTGAGTATAATGGGTATGAAATGCTCCAGCTGCTTCGCACACTGCACCCGAAAGCGGCTCTGGAATGAACTACACAGGTCCCAGGAATCTCTCCTTGCAACACGTGTGAAAATTTTGGAGTTTCTATATGCGCATTTTGTTCTCCGAGTTTTGCTCCGTTTTGCTCCATGCTACGAGCTCCTAAGAATCTCTCCTAGCCCTCCCATACCAGTGAAAATTTTGTTTGATCATATTCATTTTGCTCTCCGAGTTTCGCTCCGTTTTGCCCCATGATCGGTGAGTTCTGCTCCATTACCTGAGCTGCTTTCGGGTGCCACGCTTTGAGCACTCAGGCGCTCTGAAGCTACTCTCATTTTTCTCTCCTCTTTTTCCTGATGCACCTGTAACTGATTTTCAAGCATTTGAGTGCAAAGCGCATTGAGTATAATGGCCGTATTATTTGTTGTCCTTGTCTAGTCAACAGCCTATTAAGTATATCTCAATCGTTTTGATAGGTTCATAAAATCTGTCGCTATGAGTCCTGTCCTGTCGCATTGGCTTCCTCTCCCTTCAGACGTCGTTTGTCATGATCCGTGCTGTGGGCTTCAACAAAGGCGGAACACTCGTTGTCATGGAAACGCTGCCTGTTTCAAGAATAAGGACCCTAGAGGTCTCTCCTGGTAATGGAGAAAAACTCGCCGATAGTGGAGCAAAATGGAGGAAAACTCGGAGAACAAAATGAGCATGATCAAATTTCAGAATTTTCACTGGGGGGGCTGGGAAAGATTCTTGGGAGCTCTGTAGATCTCTCTTGGTAATGAAACAAAACTCGCCGATAGTGGAGCAAAATGGAGCAAAATTAGGAGAACAAAATGAGCATGAGCAAATTTCAGAATTTTCACTGGGGGGGCTGGGAGAGATTCTTGGGAGCACTGTAGGTCTCTCCTGGTAATGGAGCAGAACTCGCCGATCGTGGAGCAAAATGGAGCAAAATTCGGAGAACAAAATGAGCATGATCAAATTTCAGAATTTTCACTGGGGGCGGCTGGGAGAGATTCTTGGGAGCTCTGTAGGTCTCTCCTGGTAATGGAGCAAAACTCGCCGATAGTGGAGCAAAATGGAGCAAAACTCGGAGAACAAAATGAGCATGATCAAATTTCTGAATTTTCACTGAGGGGGGGGGGCTAGCGTTAATTCAGTCCCCCCCCCCCTACCTAATAGGCCACATAGTCTCTCAACTGTAATGGAGCAAAAATCGAAATTAGTGGAGCAAAATGGAGCAAAATGAGAGCAAAATTATGGGATAATTTTCATCCAGAAATGGGGGCTAACTTAACTGACCTCCCCGGTTTCCCAGCCACTCTTGTACTTTAAAAAAACAATAGAAATATAGAATTTTTAATACCTATTTAGAAGTACCAGTCGTTCTAGTGACAACGTATGTTGGTAATTTTTTGTTTCATCTGATTCGTTATTAATAAATAAAGATGGGGTTATTCCAAATGGGTATTAAAAATACTAAACATATAAAAACACAAGTTAGTTTTTGTGTATCCGTTCCTCACCTAAAGGTATACTTTCAGTGAATGTTGGGTACAAGCTGCTTTTGTGGGCGGCAAGCTTGATAAATCTAGGAGTGCAGAAGATGCAGTAAAAAGAGTTTGTGTAAAATTACCATAACCTTCATTGGTAATATAATGCCTTGGATGTACAAGTAAAATATTACCAGAAAAGGCAAGTAATATACATAGCTAGAATACTTCTGTACTTTTATATTGTTGTCTATGTATTTGTTTGTTGGACTACTAAGTAATTTTACGCAGCTGATATACTAAAATGTACTACTGCTGCCATTTAAAGAAATTGACTTTACAGTAAAAACACGTTAAAGAGTTGTGAAATTACCATGTTTATTATGTAGTTTTACATTTTGCACTGCAGTTTTTACCTGGAATTTCATGGTAACTTACCTAGTATTACATGTGAAAATATGGATTTATTTCACAAAAATTTACAGATAAGAATGTAATAGTTCTATCCAGCTTCTCCATTCCTACTTGGTTAATATATGGTTAGTTTTATTCTTTGGTTGAACTTGATATGGGACATTTAGAACATATTTTTTTGCCAGAGATTAAGTTTACCGAAAAATAAAAATAGCCAGTCTTAAACCAAAAATGAAGAAACCGGACTTGAAGAATAAAAATTGTAAAAATTGTTAAATTTAAGATAAAACCCCTGTTTTTGTACCAGAGGCTAAGAAAAACAAAATATAATTGAAAAATGAGCTTTTATTTTTGTTTTAGAAATCAAATATCAAATACCGAATAAAAATGTTTGCATAGGTACCCATAAATATAGAAATAGAATCACAATGTTATTTCTCTACAGAATCTATCTATTCAGCCTTCTTCAGTCCATCTTTGGACATAGGCCTCCCCCAGTCTTCTCCATTCTTCTCTGTCTGTTGCCATGTTCATCTACAGAATACAATTAAAAATAAATAAAAAAACGTAAAAGTGTATTTCTACCTAAATGTAGTACGTAACAAATCAAAAAATAAACAACAAATTCTAATGGTAAAAACAAAGTAACAAAAGAATAAAATAAAGACATGAGTTATTGCAAATTGAAAACCAAAAATAATGTGAACACTGTTACCAATGAGCCTTGGAACGATAACAACTGTCCATCAGCTAGTGGCTAGCCTGATTTAGTCTAGCATGATCACAAATTCTATGTTTCCATCGGCACCTGAAACAAATTCAGATTCTTGAATATCTCACTTACCTGAGTTATTTACCGTTAGATTATATGAAAAACACAATTCATAATAATTGGAAAAACACGTTTCCTTCAACCGCTGTTTCTGTTTCTAGATCCCGTGTAAAATGGCATCGCAATTCGTTGTCGTGAGGGTGCATCTTCTTGATAAGTATGGAGGGAACAATTACTGGTTTGACCACGTATTTTTACAATAATTTAAAAATAATCACATTATTTCACAAAAAGCTAAGTTATTTTACTTTATTTTATAAGAAAATACATTCTCAAGAGTAAAATATTGTGCAAATCTGTAAGATATAGAGATAATACTATTTCGATGTATTTTTACTTACTAGAATAGGGAACAGAAAAAATACTTCATCAACATGGTAAAATATACAAGGTAGGCGGAGTACTTTATTGGGTATTTAAATAGAATTACAGGCATTTTTTACTGTGTGATTGTCTTTCCATTGCTTTATTATAAAGTTGATGGCGAAGGTCATCGATATCATTACATTTTGGGCCATCAGGATAAAGAGATCTGACAAACTCTTCCCCGCATTGAATCACATTCACTTGTGTACATTAAATATCTCGTAAACCTTATTCCTTAACGTGGGATTTTTCTGTAACTGCATGTATACAATTTTTTTCCCTTTTCTGTATTAGGCGTATATTTTATCGCAGCCAGAAACTGCATGAGCAAAGAAAATAACTTCCTTCATATCCTCTATTGTTATTTGTACCTCAGTTATTGCATATACTTTTCCAGCCGTTCGGCTCGTGGCTGGATGAAGTACACTTATACTATTAATTTTGTGGTGCTCTACCAATGAGCATTGCAAGAACGTCTGTATCCGTAGCTACAACCATAACATTTTCACTGCTGATATTTAGTTTGAGAGCTGTACTGACAATTAGTTCATCTACGGCGTGAATGACGGTGAATCCCGCATCTTTCAAATATGCGTCTAACACTGATATAAGGCGCGCCTTGTTCTTGTTATTTGAAAGAAACTCTTCTTGAGCAATATTTATATTGGTGTTTTCGTTAAATATAATATTTGGGCTATACTTATTTTTTTCCACGTCTTCTCTGTTCTTCCGATTTTGTGGTAGCTTCCTCTGTATATCTTTCGAGAACCACAATTGATTTTTGATAATGTTTGACCACATATCGGACGTATGCATTGAAAACATCCTTGAAGTTGCCAAGCTTTGGCCATACTATAATATGCAGCAAAAAGCCCCCGTCAACCACAAAATCCATTGATTGATTCAGATAAATATCGCTTGTTTTTTCGGGAAAAAAATGAAGTTAGAACAGACTTTTGTGTTTTTCTCATATGGTCCCATCAAATAGAGAAGGTGCGGTTCTGATGATAACTCATATCTGAAATATTCGGATTTGTCGCTGTTTAAAACACAAAAAAGCCGTATGAATAATTGAGGAGTCGAAACCGGGACGATGTCATTTTGGATTTTCATTTTCTACTGAACTATTATAACCATGTAATAACTTGGTTACAATAATCATAAACAGGGTCTTAACTCCCAAGGGAGTTAAGGATATCATAACTCCCAAGGGAGGATTTCCATAACTCCCGCTTTTACTTTTAGGTGAAACTTTGACAAAAAATTTTGGTTAATGGTTTATTTCTTTATAAAAATGAACAAAATACAGTAAATTGAGTAGGAAATAAAATTATCTATGTACCACGGGAATTATCAGGTGTTAATACCCACGGGCAATTGGTGTCCCTTTGTCCTACTTCTTCGGCAACATGACAATTGATAGTTTTATCTGCAGTAGATATTGAATATAATTTGTTACATTTTTCGGAGAGAGAATGATTCCTATACCATTCTATAAATGTATGTAAGTCTTTGGAATCCCCAATTCTATGGGATTCAGTTAGATCAATGTGGTAAAAATAACAAAACAATGGGTAAGTTTTACAAGCCACAGTGACTACTTCCAAATATTCTTACCTGATCGCTAGTCGGACACCTAATTTTATATGCTCGACCCCATGATTCTTCCATGACGTTGTACAGAGGAAGATATCTAGGAAGAGAATAGACAAAATTTTAGGTTATACCTCTTTCATGTGTCATTTGTCCCTTGAAGTTTCTCATCAGTTCCTGCTCGATGACTTGATCTGTAGGGACGCCAGTCCAAAACTCCTCCGAACGACGAATAGTGAAATATTGCTTTACAAATTTTTCGTATTCGTTCTTGTGCATACGTTCAAGATCGTCACATTGCTGAACATACAAGTGGGCTGACTTGGCATAGTGGTAAGTGGCAGCATGAAAATATGGCAGCATAAGCCTTATGTAAAGGAAATGCAAGTCCCAGTTGCGAGTTCTGAATGAAAAGTCTGTGATGAGTTCTACCTGTTTTATGTATTGGAACCATAGAACTGCAGTTGGGCTATTTTTTGATATTTCTTCAATCACACTGTTTAGTTTTTCTTGAAGGGTATGAAGAATTTCGTTCTTATAGACATTTTCTGGTGTAGAATATCCAGTTAGAAAATCCAGAAACAACGTTTTCATTTGGTCCTTGTTTCTTTATTGATGTTTATCTTTTCGAGAAGAAGAGTAACCAGGGCTTGTTGAGTGATGAAATGAGCTCTTAGGGCTCTGTTATACGCGTGTCCTCCTATCATGTGTACCACAGAGTTTTTCGCGTAAACTTGACACCATACACATCTTCAATACCACTCCCACCTAAAGATATATGATATATGACGTAAGAGAAAAACGCAATATACATAGGCAATATAAACCTATCCAAATCTTACCCATTAGGTAACCAATCGTGTGAATAGAGCCTAAACGCACAAATATGTTTCTGAACGTCTGAGGCTCAAAGTCTACAATTTTAACCGCTTTACCCAAGTAGCACATAATACGGGGCAAACATCGTTTTTCAATTGGGCCAATATTTATTCATTTTTGTTGCTAAATCAACACAGTACCAATATTGGGGCAACGTTTTAACTATGTGGAAACAATATTTAAAAATAATCTTGTACCAATATTGTTTTCATAGATTAATTAACTTTTCAGTAATTTGAATATTGGCCCAAGACTTCTCACAACAATATTGATTTATGAAATATTGGCCAAATATTACATTTTATATTATCGAAACAATATTGTAATATAATATTAATTCAATATTGGCATTCATTTTTTTATTGATATTTAAATTCACTTCAAAAACTTTGTACACCCAATATTTATTTTCAATTTTTTCACAATATTGATACTTCTTGAAAAGCCCAATAGGGCAATCCAACGACCTGTCAAAATGAAATTCAAAATGGAGGCCAATGCCTTTTTATTTTAAAAAAAAAAGCCATTTATTGCGATTTTTGATTTGTATAAAGTCTGTTAAGTGTTGATTTTTTGGAAAATGCATACGTTATGTATTGTACTTAGTTATAGGAGCCGTTCTAATCGCGAGAAAGTCTAGTTTCATGCTGTTCCTGCAAAGACAAAAACACAGGTTTTTACTGGAGAAAAAAGATTTGTCTGTATTTTGTGAGGGCTTCATGGATTGTAGCAAAAGAGAAAAAATCTTACGAAATCCATATTAAATAACCAAAAAGTCTCTCTACATAAATGGTGTATAGTGTATGGATCCAAGCCATTTACTATCCTCCACATCAGCTTGTGTCGATAATTTGAATAGCAGAGAAATAAAATAAACATCAGGATTCAGGATTTGGTTAAAAAAAACTAAACAGGAAACAAATCCTGGATAGTACCTACCTAATTGTTTAGTAGGTGAAGGTTTGTCAGAAAGAAATCATAACTTTTGCAAACATCCGAGTTTTCCACTAATCAATTTTTAAACTAACAACTTTCCATCTTAAAATACGAAAATTATCCTTCCAAACACTAGAAAATCATCTAAAAACACCACAAAATACACAAAAAACAGTTTCTTGATGAAAAATGTCACGGTTGTTTGGATTAAATTTATGGCGCCAATTTTTTGGCATTGACCATGCATTGACCGCCATTTTGTTTGGATTGCCCTATGAAGGGCCAATATTTACATGCTAATTTTTACCAAGGTTAGATTTTCTGAATTGAAAATGTTGGTCCAATATAGGGTATTCAATGTGCGCACTTGGTGTGCCGACCAAAAAATAGATGGAGACTCTGTCTTCACTTTATCTGTCTTAAACCTGGTTCCGGCATGAAGCCAAAAATTGGTTGTTTTCTATCCGCGGGACCCTGGCGGGACTTAACCGTGCTGATGAGTTGTGATACAGCAAAATGGGTCCACGGATGGTCCGGCAGAGAGAAAACACTTCTTAGTCGGTCCTTATAATTGGTCCGTTACCTTAATCAAATATAATATAAAGTCAAGATTTACATACGTCTTCAGGCCAATATTGGTAATTTCAATTGGCTCTATATTGCATAAAGTTCTTGATATGATATTGATTATTTCTTTTTGGGCCAACATTTGGTTACGTTATTGTACCAACGTTGGTATTTGTTTTTGGGTATATATTGACATACGTTCTTGGACAAATATTGCAGAATGTCCACATCTTTTATTGGGCCAACATAGAGAATCTGACTTGGGCCAATAAATCGTAGTTACTGTCCCAATATTGGCCCAACATGGGAGTGCTGCTTGGGTATCATACAATTGTTGATCGAAAGTTACTATGCAGTGCTCTTGTCCCAGCTGTCGAGTTTCTTTTGAAGCAAACTTCTAAGCAGAATAAAAAGTGCTTGGATCAGCTGGAGACATATTAATAAAAGGTAAAATTGTAACAATTGTTTTTTCACATTCCACGTATCCATTAAGCGCTAGTTTTATCGTTCCTCCCCAGGATGGTGGTTTGTCGACTCCGAAAAACCAAAAATAAAATTGTACCATATTCATACTAAATATCATCATATACCTACCTGCCCAGTTGCTAAACAACCATAATAGATCCAAAGTTTTGGCACGTTTCATTAAATTTTTCATTTCTGTATTACCGATTTTAATGTTTCTTACTATAACATTTTTCAAGGGAAGTGTCTTTGGTGCTTTGTACCAACTAATGGAAATGTCATCTTCTCTGCTGCTGCTGTAGAAGAAACAATGTCAATTTGGCGAGCAATCGATTTTGGTGTTGCAGGTGGCGAAGGAGTAGTCAATCAAATACCTCCCAAACTGTGAAATGTGCCATGGCCAGTGAGAAATTTAATATTAAAATCCGCGTTATCAAAGCAGTCTGGACAAGACTATTTGCGCTGGCAACCGTCTCGACATTGTCTTTTATTATGCAGTTATCATATTGATATGTTGTAGGTCACCGAAAATCTCCAATTGTTTAGGAAGTCCACGATCTGCCTGGAGCCAAATTCTCTATGGACATATACACCAATACCAAGTAAAATTAGAGATATGAATTACCTTGGTCGACATGCGCCTATTATTGCCTGACCTATAGCTGCCTTTTTCGTATCCTGGCGCTCATTTTCCAAATTTTTTAATTTCATAATTGTCTCCAGTAACGTGTCTAAACTTTTAGGAATATTGCATAAAACTGAGGATTTTTCTGCGTGTGGATAAACGCTGCAATCATATACGGCAGCACGTATATTTTCTCTAATGATTTCTGCAGCTTTCTAAACTACCCTCAACCTTTCATCTGCCTCACTATTTTCTAGTTTCTATCAAACCAAGAATTAAACAATATTGAATCTACATTATCTCTGAAATTTAAAATTGTTCTTTTTCCTGTAATTTCGGTAATACATATTCGTTCTCCAAAGTAATCGACTAACTTCCTTAGAAACTGTTTTCGAGAGTAAGGCTCGCAATCCATGTCTTTAAATACTTTTTCCAGGTCCAAGTCGATTATTGAAAAACTAGCTATTGCCCCTTTTTGGGCTTTAGTCAAACCGCACCAGGGATGACAAAATGTTTTACTTTGACTGACTGTAAAAATTAACCACTAGGTATTGGATCATTTAAGCCTTGTATTCGGTTAGGGGTTGCCTTGATTCTCATTTATACAAATAAAACGCTGAAATAGAATAATTATTAATTTAATTAATAAATAAAAGTAATTCGGTATAGTCAGCAATCAAATCCTATCTGAAAATTCCTATTTGGACGTCCAGTCGAACTACAAATTTTATACTGATCTAAAGTAAATGAGTATCTTGATTTATAAAGGGTAGAGAAATCTGATATTGATAATAACATCATTTATGGTTAAAAATGTTCAATGAACGAGAACACAAATTAACTAAATAAATGCACGAGAGCACAACATGAGTGTGAAAATCAAATTTCTGCATTAAACGTTAGAAGACACTTCAAATTATAGTGCATTTCAAGCGAATCACTAATCAGTACTTATTGTTCGACTGTTAGAGAAATTGTAATGGTCTTACTTGCTTAATCAGGTTCATGCAGAAAAATCCACAAGGCGATTATTTATCCATTTATCACTATTCACACTGGCAGCTAGGGAATTTTCCACTGAGATGAAAACACAACGATATACAGGCGCGTTAGAGCCCGTCGAGAGTGAGAGAGAGCCAAAAGACAAGCGCGTACGAGAGAATTTTGCTCGTCCGAGGTGACTGGCAACAATTAGGGGTTAATTACATGAATTGTAATCAATAGTATAGACCATGTCAGGCCTTGGGACATAAAGAGCATTCAGAGGGCGCGAGGGTGCGAACTCTTCGCTTATTCTAATAGTACTGAAGAATGTGCGTCGACTAGACTCTGCCAGGGGAGTAGGTCGCGAAAACTAGAGATTTTGTGTGGCGTCTGACCAATCACAGCAGCGAGACAGGTTCACTACCTTATAAAGTAATAAAGAAACCTGCAATTTTACCGGTTCAAAGTAAATAATAGAAATTGAGATATATTAAATTAGAAATAATATAAATTAAACCTGTTGTGGGTTATTTCCGCAACAATACCCATTAAAAAAGTGATATAGTGGTAAGTGCTTACAATGCCTTAAATCAGACAAGAGACGAGCTTTAAGCGTCTTTTAACATCGCTTGCACTTTTATTTTGATAAATGTCCCATTTGGCAACATCGCACAATGAAAGTGCGAGGAATATGTCAAGTACATAATTTTAAACAACACTGCGGTGAGTTCAGAAGTGATAGAGTAATTAGTTCGCTTTTTGTCGAATTACACATTACAAAGAAAGAAGGAACGATTACTTCTGAACTCGCTCCTGGACTCAGACTTTGTAAGGGATAGAGGTCGTTATCCCTATCGCTATGGCAGTTCCTGTTTTCTTCACTATTTTCGAAATCGAGAAAATGTCTGTATTCGTTACAGAGTCCCAACCCTGAATGTAAATATGACGCAAACACGTGACCAACTCGCTTCCCATTGGAATCTGTTGCACAGGCGCAGTCAATATAAAAAAAAAGATCCCTACCTTGATAGCTGAGAAGTCTCAGATAACTTCCAATTTTTTTTGGTTGAAGTAATTGCGATAAACTTTCTAGAGATTCGCAAGTAGACTACCTTTTAATGGTTGTTTTAGAGAAAAATATGTTTCTACTAGAAAAATGATGCTTAGATCATTACCCTTCATTTGATACGCCAGTGGGGCGTACCACGTGGCACTATATGGGCTCGCAATACGTCGTTGCAAGAGAAATTTTGTTCGCTTCAAAAATGCTATCCTGACATTTTTCCTTAAAGTGGATAGTTTTAGAGAAAATCACCAAAATATTAAAAGGATGGGGGTTAGGGGGCGAAAAAAGGGGGTTGCGGAAGGAGGATTGGCCAGGACTTTAAGTATATTGCAATGTAGCCCTCAGGCATGATCTCTACCAAAAATCAGCTTTATATTATTTTTGTCTAGGTCAAATGTTATCTTTACTCAGGTATATACATATTGTTGGATTTTCCACAGCACTTCCTTGAATCAAAGTGAAAACTTCCCAGGTGGTTTTTCCCTGGAGAAAACAAGTAACAAGAAACTGTGGGAAGTGTCAAGATGTAACCATTGGACATTGAAAAACTTATAAATAATGATGATGTTGAATATGACTTTGATCTTAAGCAAAGTCAAACGAATCGGTTTCGATTTTCTCCAACATCCTTGCCAAAACTTCGAAATCATTGCGGTATTTACGTGGAAAATTAAAATCACAAAGCAAATATTTTAAATTTAGACATTAAATTTTATAGTTGGTTTCCGACAGACGCCTTTTACTTGTGCGCATCAAATAAATACTTATAGAAATATGCTGTTTATTCAAGAAAGTTTCCATATTCATTATCTTGAATTGTCTTTTATCTGATCAGCAAAGAATTCCTTGATGGAATTTATCTGCCATTTATTTTCAATGTTTCTTTGTCTAAAAGGAATTTTCCTGGTTCCAAATATACATAATTATTTTGAAATTTGGCCAAGTTCCTACATCATGAAGGATATAATGAGGTGAATAACTGCCGCTGACCAGTGAAATGCTGACTCCAATTTTATTTTTACTTTAAAATGCAAATATAATTTTTTGGACCACGTGAACGGAACAGACTTAAAAAATGACTTTTGCATACATACGTTTGACAGTTTTTTGTGTTCAAGTATTTTTGTTTTTTTCAATAATTATTAGGATAAAAATTTTCGGCCAAAAACAGTTAAAATGACTAATGAAGAGAAACTCCAGAAACATTATTCATATTTCGATCAATTTTTAAGAAGGGCCAAACGCGAATTCGAAATAAAATTCAGTCAGGAAATAAAGCAAAATTGCCTTTTAATAGATTTCGATATAATGAAAGTTTTGGGAGCTGGATCCTTTGGACTGGTGGTTCTTTGCAAGTAGACGGAGAAACTCCACCAAAATTTAAACCATATTATATTTATTTTTAATATTTCTAGGGATAAACGAGATAGCAAAACATACGCCATGAAACTTATGGAAAAATGCAATATAATTAAAACGAGACAACTGGCCCATACCGGTGCTGAAATAAAATTAATGAAAAATATCAATTTTCCTTTTATAGTCGACATGCATGGATTTTTTATGGTAAAAAGCTGAATATAATAATCTCAAAAATTTAATTTTTGCCCTTCAGGATAATGTATATGTGGGCATTGTCATGTCATTTGCAAACGCTGGCGACATGTTCACCCATTTGAGAGAATTAAAGAAATTTGAAGAAGGTCTGGCAAAATTTTATGCGGCTCAAGTTATTCTGGCTTTTGAATACATACACCATTTAGGAGTTATTTACAGGTATACCCTTTAAAATAATCCTGGAACTTCTATTATAATTGCAATACCACATTTCAACTATAAGGGTATACAAAATGATACGGAGTAAGCAGAAAAACAAACAATGAAGCTTATACTGAACGAGTATGAAGCACGAATATTAAATTTTGTTTTGAATAATATTTGCGCATAATACGCAAACAAGAGGCCGTATTATTTCGTGAACAAATACTATTCAAATTCTGCAATGATAATAATAGTATGAATATTTAAGCTCATATCGTTTTGCAAAAATAAGTTATTATCTATTATTATAGAATTAAATTATTTCAGAGACTTGAAGCCAGAAAACATCCTGGTAGATCTTCAAGGATATTTGCGAATAACTGATTTGGGATTTTGCAAGAAAATTGACAACACTCGAACCTATACGTTGTGCGGCACTCCCGAATATTTAGCCCCGGAAATAATTCTGAGTCAAGGCTATAACAAATCGGTGGATTATTGGTCCTACGGAGTGTTGGTTTACGAAATGAACGCAGGATACGCCCCGTTTTTCGCCAAAGATCCGATGAGGCTTTACGAAAAAATCGTTTCGGGAAAATATTCTTGCCCGCCGTTTTTTTCCAAGCAACTCAAAGATTTGCTTGGCAATATGCTTATTGTTGACAGATCTAAAAGGTAGGTAAAATCAGTAATTACGCCAATGGTACAAGGGTGGCAGTTTTGTCCATCCAAGAATGCCTAATGCAGATTTTCCACGACCCATTGGCCCAAAAGTATTTTGGTTTTTTGTTGAAGTATAGTTCGCTGTTTACATAGTCGGAGCTTTTGACCAGGCGCGAGTTATATTATAAAACCCTATGGTATTTTTATACAAATAATCCTCCTTTTCAATGTTAAATATAAGCATATGCTACTGTAAAAGCCCACATATCATAAAGCTGCTGAGTAAGGAATAATCAGCCTGGAAAAGTACCGTCATATCAAGGTTTCACCCACTCAGTTGCACCGTCAGCAGTATTTTAATATAAATATGGCGCGTAGAGCCTTCCGTCTCATTTTCTTGTTTTTAGAATAAACTATAGCAATCAGAATCAAAGATTCTTTTGTTCTCGGCTTTTGCCGCAGCAATTAAAAGTCCAGTATTTTTTGTTGTAACTTCTTATTTATCTATCCTTACCCAGGTCTATCAATTTCCATTTCTTGATTTTGTTTTCCTGGTATTATAGTTGGGCCAAGGTATCTGTATGTTTCTGTCTTTTTTATTGTACTGTCATGGGTCGGTATTGTTTCGTCTGCATCTGGTGTATTTGTAATAAACTGGGTCTTTGAGTAGTTCATGTGTAATCCTACTTTTGCCGCCTCATCCTGTAGTTCTTCCAACATAGCAATTTCTGTTTGTCTTCTCCTCGAGCGCCAAAGTGAATAATTTTGGAGATATTACGTCCCCTTGTCGAACTCCTCTTTTGGCGTTTATTCTGTTAGATGATTCATGAAGTCTTATCGACATTGCCGAAGTCCTATACACGTTTTCAATAAGGTTTATATAACGTTGATCCACTCTGGCATTTCTCGAGGATTTTATTATTGCCCAGATTTCTACTGTGTCGAAGGCTTTTCGGAAATCGACAAAAGCCATCCATAGGTTTATATAATATTCTGTAGCTTTCTCGATCATCTGCCTTACTGTATGTAGATGTTCTGTCTTGCTATAATCGCTTCGGAACCCAGCCTGTTCCTTTGGTTGGTAAACTTCGAGTTTTCGCTCTAATAATCAGTTGGTGATTATTCTGGTGAATAATTTATATATCTGTGATAGTAAACTTATCGGTCGGTAGTTTGTGAGATCAGTCGGGTCACCTTTCTTGTAAATCAGACCAACCACAGCATTCTCCCAATCTTTGGGTATATTATGTTCTTCTGTTAGGCACTTATTGAATAGTTTCACTAGTTCTTGGCTCGACTTAGTATCGCTTTCCTTGAGCATTTCAGGTAAAATGTTGTCTTCTACTGCCGCTTTACCATTTTTCATCTGGGATAACCCTTTCTCCAGTTCTTCTATATTTATGTCGGGCATTTCTTCTGAGTTTGCATTTACCATTCGTATTTTGTCTTCTCTTGTTCTTGTGTTTGCTATTTTAGATTCGTACAGATCTCTACAGAAAGATTCCGCAACTTTCAACATCTCTTCTCTGTCTTCTACTATGTTGTTTTTCGCATCTTTTATTTTTGTTATCTCTTTCTTAGGTGTGTTGTCTTTTAAATATATTAAGTAAGTCCTTTGTTCTCTTCTAATAGGGATTGCACTTGTTTCGTTTGATGTTTTAGTATATCCTGTTTCGCCATTTTTCTTGCTGTTTTGTTGGTTTCTGGGTATTCAATAGTGTCTCTTTTACCCTGAGTTATCAGTTTTCTCCTTTTCTCTAGTAGCTGTTTCGTTTCTATCGACAGTTTGTCCACCGTTTTCTCTAGGGGGCCTATTATCTGTTCTGCTGTTTCTTTTATAACTTTTGTTATTCTCTTATTGTTATCATCTAATGACTCTTCTGTTTTTCCTGGATAGTTGGAAAACATTTCTTCCAGGCGTTGTTTGTATGTTTCCCTTCTTTCTGCTATTTTTTCTCTACTTCCTCTCTTCGTCGTTTGTTTCATCTTTGTTTTTCTTTCCATTTTTGTGTTTATGAGCAGTTTGCATCTTAACATCCTGTGATCACTGCCGGTGTTGAATTGATTGACTACATCTACATCTTGGATTATGTGTTTATGGCGGGAGAATATAAAGTCAATCTCATTTTTGGTTTATCCATCTGAGCTATTTCATGTCCATTTACGTTTCTTTTTCTTTTGAAAGAAAGTGTTCATCAGATAGAGTCTTTCTCTTTCTAGGAAGTTTGGTAACATTCTTCCCCTTCCATTTCTGGTGCCGATTCCGAACTGTCCTATGTGTGTTTCCATTGGTTCTGTTCCTCTGCCTATTTTTGCATTAAAGTCTCCTCCTAGAATAGGGTGCGTCGTTGGGTTCTCTCTTATTGCTCTCGCTATGTTTTCGTATACCATTTCCACCTCGTCATCTTCATGTGAGGAAGTTGGAACATAGGCTTGTATATATGTAACTTCTTAGTTTTTAATAAAATAAATAGTTTTTAAAAACAAGATTTACTGAACGAAAAATATAATTCGCGTGAACCTGAGTATGTGAAATATTTGTGCTCAAAATTGGCATTTTTTGATATTGGGAGTACCTCTGGTTGTCGATAATACGGTAACTGTACTGCATAATACTGGGTGTCCCAGCCCAGAGTGACCCATTTTAAATGCTTATAACTTTTAAACCAGGTATGCTAGCTACCTGCGGTTTATGCCATTCGATTTCTCTTGGCCTAAAGTTTTTTTTTAGTACGTTGCAATTTTTTTAAAAACTTATACAGGGCGAGTAAAAAAAAATCCGTTTTTCAACATCGAAATTCTTCACTATTTTTAATGGAAGACCTTGTATATCACAACGTCAAAAAAAAAATTCATGTTCAAGATATCCATGTACGAATAAACAATATCAACTTTGAAACAAATATTGAGAAATTTTTCTTATCTCTAGTAGTACCTATCTAATAAAACATTGTGTAATTGATATCTAGTAGATACTACATAAATATTTCTATTCATGTTTATATTTCCTATCAATAAGATTTTTTGATTTAAAAAATTGAATTAAATGTAAAAAAGACTTGGAGTAATTTTTTTGCACCTCCCCCTGGAATATTTTCTGCCAGCAGGCATGGTTTTGACTGATGATATAGAAATTCATCTGCCATCTGCACCAAGTAGATACTATGTTGCTAGTAGCTCTGATAGCGCTATTTCTTTAGAACAAAATAGGTACTTATCATTTCTGCCATCTATTAGAGAAAAATTCAACTGGATGATGGATACATGAGCATAAGCGTTTGTTGCTAGAAATACTAGAAATTCGAAAAATTGAATTCAGCACTAGATAGCATTGCTGGAAGAATTAAATATTTCGGAAAAAACAATACAGCATAATCATAGCACAGATTTTGATAGAATACTGCAAATAATGATCCAAGGTGACCAAGGAAGAGACTTTATGGAGCTCCTTTTTGAGAGTATTTCATCTGTATCAACCACAGAAAGTTTAGGAAGAGCAGAAAATTATCGAGTCATGTCAGATTTAAAAAAGGACATTAAATTTTTCAGTGTAGAATCAGAAAGTGAAGCATCTGAGGGGTTACAATACCTCAAAAGTATGAAAATATTACTGGAATGGTCCGAACTATTTATTTTAGAGACTACAAGAACACATTTGATAGGAGCTGGATCTTAGATGTCAAGGAAATTGAAAAATGGAAAAAGCCTGAATGACTATGAACAAGCCTTTAGGAAACCCTTAGTGGTAAAACCAGTACAAGGAGTACAACAGCGTAATGAATGAAAGTGGTCTCTTGAGGGTCCCTAATTATTATAAAAGTTCCGATATATCAAAAAGCTTATGATTGCCTACAATTTAAATATAAAATAATGCTAAACTTAGCAATCGGATTTAATCGAAATTAGGTTACTATATCGGGTTGTCGCTGCTGAGTCATTGATTCAATGATATTTGGTGGTATTCCGGATATATGGAGTCATTGATCGATCCGTAATGTCTCCCTTCCCGGGAGAAGTTTTGTAAGGGACGAACAAAACTGTTGGTTCTTCTTCTTCAGGACTTATTTCTTCCATGGGTGTCCTCTTAAGGTTCTTGTCTGAAATCCTTTTTCTTCCCAGGTTCCATCTTTGTTCTGAGTTTGCTACAAACAACTATTACCAGAATCGTGCCTGAAATATACAAAGGTGTTATCCAGAAGTGAGAGTTACTTGTTGATTGCGTTTCGCCTTCGATTGGTTCGAGGTGTTCTTCTGCCCTTATTAATTTGTGAAGTTCATCCAGGGGTACCCGGGAGAGTTTCAGAGGCTTCACTTGGGGTTGCCGATCATCGTTTCTTGTGTGTATTCTGGGAAGTGTTAATGGTTCTTCTTCGATTAGAGTTTTCTCATTCAAGAAGTTTAAACTGATTAGGAATACTCCTTTGACTTTTGAGAATCATTATCTTGCTTATATAATGAGCATCGGAAAGATCTTGTATTAACGTGGTGTTGATTGACACAGTTATTTGCCGGCAAGTTGCTTCGCTGTTGCTTAGTTGAATTATTTGGTTATACAATCCTGGTTGTTATCTTGTAAGAATCCTTTGTGACATAGGTATTCGGAATCAATTTTACGGCATGAAACTTCCGTGTATTGGAATAGATTTTCGCTCAGGGCCAAATAGGGAGCAGCAGGAATTATGGTGGTATGATTCGTCGTGGGTATTGAGAAAAGATGGAAATATGTGAAAATTTCTGGTGACAGAATGGGGAAATGCAAATGTTGTAGCTACCTCAAGGTCGTTGAGGATTTGCAAGTTAATTTGGAAGGCTAAGTTCAGCTGATCTAAGACGTTTCTAGCTTGTAGAATATGGGTGAATTCGGACATGAATTTACTTAGTTCAGAGTTAATTTTGTTAGCTCCTTTTTCTATAGTTTCTTTGTTGTAAGTTATAAGGGAGATGTGTGATTGAAGTTTGAAGTGTTAAGACTCATTCGCTGATTCACTTGGGAGACGATATTCTCTTGGCTATGTTGACTGTTGCGATTGTGGCGTCGTACCTTTGGGCGTCTTCGTGGTCTTGGTTTCCAGATATGGTTTTAATAATACTGCGGAGACCATTGAAAATTCCTCTTCTGTATCTTTGGATAGGTAGGATGACACGAAGTTTTTCTTTGGCGGCTTTTAACAGGAACTGTAAACTTTGATTGAAATTTTAGAGGCTTTTGATTAGTATTGTTCTCCTAGAGACTGAGGTTCCTTGATTACTGGGAAGAAGTAAAAAAAGTCAATGAAGTCGTGGGTATTACTCTGAATCCTTGCTCGTCCCAGCTTGAGGGGAAATATTCCTGGAGTTGTCCTTCAGGTCCTGGATCAGGAGGTTATGAGCGACCGCTGAGGAACATCTGTAAGGAATTTCTAGAGTTATTTCTTGGAAGATTTTTAATATTTTTTTTATGTATTGTCGTGTCTTGTGTGTCAATGGTCACAATATTGTCAGTGTTAACTGTCTTGAGAAAGAATCTTTATAGTTTTTCTGGTGTGCTAGGTTTATAGGTTAGGGGGGTTTGCATGGTTATGTTTCTTTTTCCTATGTACTTTTCTTTCGGTTCATGTATCTTTTGATAGTCTTCGTTTTTTCCCTGTGTTGCTGGGTATAATTATTTACAGATAAGTGCTTTCCTGGCGTCAACGTCAAACGGAGTGCATATGGCATTTGTTCTATAACGCTTGAGGATTTTTTATTTTCTCGAAATATCTTCAGGTGTTCGATAATGGAGGGAGTGGAATCTTTTCATTATCCCGTTGGATTGTGGGTTATCAGGGGTAGTATAATGGATAGATAGATAGATTTTATTTGTATCTACAAATTCCTGTATAAGTCCATTCTTAAATTCTTTTCCAATATCGGAGACTATTATGTGTGGTATTTCATGATGAATTATGATGAAACATTCACTGAATTTGATCACTCTATGGAGTAGGGTTGTCCATATTTTGAGAAGGAATCAATAATTGTTAAAAACTTGTGCCTCCCGGCTTGAAAGGTATCTAGATGAATAATTTTCAAAGGTCTAGTCGGTGTTGTAGTAATCATGAATTTGGGTTTGGCTGGACTACGATAGAAGTCTGACTGGCTTCGCAAATTGTTTTTTTTTTTTTGCTATTGACGTCTTCTAGGAGAAAGTTGCATTTGATAAAATCAAATGCAGAATTTTTAAAAGTTTCTTTTAGGATGTTGCATAGAGGAACATAAAGATCTTCGTCCTTAAAGAATATTGCATACTTCTTTTTGGGGTCTATCTTTTCTTTAAGAAGCTTTATGAAGCTTCTTTCTAAGTTATTCTTGCTTACTTGGCCTGTATTTGTTAGGGAAGGGTACTTCTATTATAGGCTTTGCTGGATTATAATTAACAGACAGACACAATTTGGTTATTGTAGTAGTTAAGGGCTCTTTCACTAATTGGAATGCCGAATATAGGTTCTTCCTGAGCAGTGTATCTAGTTACGTTATCTTCTTCCGGGTCAGCTGTTCTGAATTTTCAAGGATTTCACTGATGACCTTTTGTATCTTCGCTTGCAAAGCAGGTTTCTCCAGAACTTCGTCTATGTCGAGGATTGATTCTGCATTGTTATACAAAGATGCGTTATCTTCGTCTTTTAGTGGTTGGGCTATATCTTTCTGGTATGGATTTCGACTCTGGACAGAGCATCTGCATTGGAGTTCGATTTTCCCTTCTTATAGATTATCTCATAATCAAACTCTTCCTGCTTTAAGCGCCATCTATCTATTTTGGAACTATTGTCTTTCATGGAAAAAAGCCATGGAGAGGATGGTGATATGAAAGTATCTTGAACTTTCTCCCAAACAAGTAGGGTCTGAAGTACTTGGTCGCCCAGATTATGTCTAACATTTCCTTTTCAATGGTGAAATATTTCAACTCGGTTTCGTTGAGTGTCCTGGATGCGTATGCAATGGGCTTATCGCTGCCGATTGGTCCTTGGGATAGTATAGCTCCAATTGCATAGTTGCTAGCATCGGTAGTTAGATTAAAAGACTTGCTGAACTCTGGATATTGCAGTGGAGGTTGATTTTCCAGTAAATTTTTGCAAGTTCTAATACAGTTCAAAATTTCTAGTATCAGTTTTATTTTAGCGTCCTTTTTGAGGCAGGAAGTTAGAGGTTTGGTAATTTTTGCGAAGTCCTTGATAAACTTCCTGTAATATCCAAGGAAGCCTAGAAATGCTCGGATTTCCTTCGTGGTTCGCGGTATTGGAGTCTTCGATTTTAGCCGGATTTGGTCTTATTCCTTCTGGTGTTACAATATGTCCAAGAAAGCCAACTTCCTTTTTTAGAAACTCGCATTTGTCCATTTGAATTTTGGATCCAGTCTCTCTGAGACGTTGGAAGATTTTTGAAAAATAAACCAGGTGCTCTTGAAGTGATATGCTGAACACAATAATATTGTCCATGTATGTACATACACTAAGAATTTTTTTCCTTGGAGGCCTTTCAAAACGTTATCCATTACCCTCTGGAAAGTAGCTGAAGCGTTTTTTAGGCCAAACGGCATCCGGACATACTCGTAATGGCCATTTTCGACATTGAAAGCAGTTTTCCATATATCTTCGTTAGCCATTTCGATTTGGTGAAAACCACTTGTTAGATCCAAGTTGGTGAAGTACTGATGGCATCTACCAAGTTTATCCAAAATGTCTATCATGTTCGGAATTTGATATTTATCGTCGATAGTTTTTTCGTTTATTGTTTCCTTTCGTATAGTCCACTACAATCCGCCATTTTATTTTTCCGGGGGCGTCTGGTTTTTTTGGAACTATCTATATCGGGAAAGACCAAGGTTACTGGCTTGGTCTGATAATTTCTTGATCCAACATGGAAGATATCTGGTTTTTCACTTCCTCTTTATGGATATGTCGATATCTATATGACTTAGTGTACATACACTGGAATCTCATCCTTTGTTTTAATATAATGTTTGTTCTGAAAAACGCTCCAGCTACGTTCCAGAGGAGAGATATTCACAACACATCGATATATCATCAACACGTTCGAGCTTCCGCATTCCCCGCGAGAGCTCCCATGGGTGTTTCGCAGACATGAGAGGTTGCTTGTTGATGTACCTGCCCCAATGCTCCAATGCCCCCATGTAGTTGGCGCCAGTAGTGGAAACCAGGTTAGGTACACCAAAGAAATGAGAGTTTAGCATGCTATTTTCACGTGGAGTGGTGGAGTGGAATCTTTCTATCATCCCGTTGGATTGTGGGTTATCAGGGGTAGTATAATGGATGGATATCTTATGTGTATCTACAAATTCCTGTATAGGTCCAGTCTTAAATTCTGTTCCACTATCGGTGACTATTATGTGTGCATTAAGAACATTCACTGAAATTGATCCCTCTATAGGGTAGGCTTGTCCATATTTTGAGAAGAAACCAATAATTTTAAAAAACTTTTGCCCTCTGGCTTGAAAGATGAATAATTTCCAAAGGTCTAGTCGATGTTGGAGTAATCATGAGTTTAGGTTAGGTACACCAAAGAAATGAGAGTTTAGCAGGCTATTTTCACGTAAAAAATTGTTAAGGCAAGAACCGTTATCATACAAAGTAGTCCAACAGCAATAAGTTCTTATTGGACTGACTGATGGAACATTGTAACGAAACATCGTTAGGCAAAACTCATCAATATGTCGATCTCCTTCATTCATTGAAAGGATCAAGATCAGGAAAAATTCCAAATTCCGACAGTGACAGTGGCTTAGAAAATAGGGAAAAAGCAAGTATCTTAGGAAAAATTTGAAAAAAAATGATATTGATGACAATATTGGAAATAAATCTAATAGGTACGACACTAAGACACAGAGCAATCGCGAATATTATCAAAATGAAAATGATCAGTTGATCTTGAAGATTCAGACACAGTTTATTCACATAAATAAGAATTGGAACCCGATGAACTGGTTTTGGATGATGAACTTTTAATTGACGATCAAGAAGAGAATAAAAACCTTAATTTAAAATACAAGGTACAACCAAAAACCACTCATCAGACGTTAATGAGAAAGAAATGAGATTCCCATAAGAATAGAATGAAAGCGTACTTTACAAGATAGGACAAGAACTATAGAACAATACTTTTGTTATCTCGTTCACAAAGTACTCAAAAGGATTATCACCTCTAACATAAAATATGTATATTCTACTTACCAACAAGATGGGTAAGCTGAATTCTGATTCATTTGCCTCTATTCGCAGCTTTTCTTCACCAGGCCTATTTTCAAAACTAGAATACAAATGGCTGAAATGATGATGACAATGGGAAGCTATTGTTGAAGCTGATGACGCCTAATTAAAAATATAGAAAAATCACTAGATCGATTTCCCTATTGATTTTCTTTTGAAGAAGAAATAGTTATCTTAACCTCTGTTGCCCTACTGTGACGATTTTATACATCTTTGCTTTAGTGGAATTTTACATTGCTCGCTCTTACTTACACCATAGAGATTATTAAAAATTATTTTCCAGATACGGTCTACTAAAAAATGGAGTCAAAGACATCAAAAGTCACGACTGGTTTAAGAACACCGATTTCGATCAAATTCTATCCAAGAAAGTTATACCCTCGTACGTTCCAAAAGTTGACAATGAAACCGACACAAGATATTTCGAAAGTTCCAGCAAGAAATTGGTCGTTAAAAAGGCATCGACAGACGAATTCGCTAAAGAATTTGATGACATATTTGTAACTCCTAAAGCCTAGCAAAAATATTAATAACAAATTATTTGTAAAATTAATATATTAAAAGAGCTATTAAAACATATAAAAAATGGACAAATATTTGATTATTATTAGTAATATTATTGGCTGAATTGCAGTTTGTTTCATTGCACTCATAACACTAAAAAACAATCAAACTCAGATTCAATTCACGTAGAGCCATTTTTTCAGACTTTTCAAGAAATTTACAGTTGTCTTTTTTTTTGAATATTGGCTTAAAACATTTTCTATAAGTTAATTCGTGAGCTACGATTTCGTGTTCTGGAAAAAACATGTTCTGTAAAATATTTAGAATAAAAAATCCATTTCTTACTATGATTCTCTGATGTAGTCATATATTTAACGCAGACACTGTTGTCTTCACAAAGTCGTGCAGATACCTCATCAAAATCCATAGGATCTTTGCATTCTCTAGTGCCTCCACAATAAAAACAAGAGTCAGGAGAACCTAAACATCCTTAAATATATTGTAGGTACGTTTGAAAAAACTTATTAAACGAAATAATGGTTTATACTTACCAAGAACGAAGGGTTGCACTAAAATCAACAGCCATTTCTCATTCATGATTTCGTGATTTTACCATTTTAGTATTACAAATCCCATTGAACTGAATACTTGGAACGTTAGGATGAAATCAAACACTTATCGAAACAATTGCTTAATTATTTTTGTAGATAAAAGTTACATAGGTATTATCTATTCACAATCCGATCCTCAAAGGTAAAGGTAAAAATAAAAAAATCACCTTTCAGTGCTATTTGATAGCGAAAGGTGATAAATTTACCTTTACCTTTGGACTACGGATTGTGAATAGGATATAAATATAGTGTTAGGTACTTATACGGGTTCGCAGATAAGTGAGACTACTTTTTCGAACTTTAACGAATTTTATTAAACACAATAACATAAAAATCACACGAAAGGACCCAGCACACCTCTTATGGGATTTAGGACTTCCGCCAAATTTAACCAAATTCTAGTATCATATAAATTTGACCTTTCTGATCAATACTTAACATTGGCCCAACTTCATCCTATGACTAGTTTTTGAGATACAGGTAGTTTAATGACCAAGAAATGTACACATTTTATATGCATTTACATCTACCTGTTACCTAATAATATACCAGGATGGTCAGGTATCCTCACGCTCGTGTGACAGGTAGGTGTAAATGCATTAAAATGTGTACATTTCTTGGACATTAATTTACCTGTATGTCAAAAACTAGTCATAGGATCAAGTTGGGCCAATGCTAAGTATTGATCAGAAAGGTCAAATTTATATCATACTAGAATTTGGTTAAATTTGGCGTCCCAAATCCCATAAGAGGTGTGCGGGGTCCATTTAACACTACTTTACACTCCGAACTACTCCAAATAATGCTTATACGGCACGAATATTTTCGAACGTGGTTATTTAGTTCCTGACTTTACAGTTTACTGCACTTGTCGTAGGTCAATCAGAACTGATGTTTACGCGGTGCGCACCGGGGCTTTTATAGTTATGTGCGACCTTCTCTAACTCGCTCGAATTTTCGTGATTCAGTTCATCTTGAAAATAGTCGAATTTTCTGGCATTTTTAACTGTAGTTACAGGGAGCAATCAAAAAGTACGAGTGAAGGGTTTATAACACTGCTCCCTTCCTCAAAGCTGTTCGCCCCGAAGAGCTTATCCCAATCGCATCCAAGTCGGTGCGCTCTTGCCCTTGTATGGAGCCCAGCCTCTCCATATGAACGACCTTGGGCTTGGTATTTGGTGTAAGTTGTATCCTGTATACCAAGTCGTTGATTTTCTTAATGACCTTGTATGGTCCTTCCCATGGTCGTTGCAGTTTCGGACTAAGTCCCTTTCTTCGCTATGGCTGATACAACCAGGCAGCATCGCCTTCAATAAAGGTGTTTACACTCAACCAAATAGTAGCATAAATAAAAAGAAGTTGTTCTTTGATTTAATGAACAATTCATTAAAATCGGTCCGAAGAACGGCTTCTTTGATCACATGAACTCTACGTTATTGAGGTATGAACAATTTCTTAATTCCTATTTCGATTCATCTTGTGTATGAACAACGAACATGAAAGTATGTAGCAAGGTTTTTGTATTAATGAAACTTTTCATAGTAACAATAAACATCGTTCTTAGTTAATATGTACTTTTTCATTGTCCTGATGAACAGACGGCATAATATTAATGAAGCCCAGATATAATTTGATGAAACCCTTTCATTGTATTTATGAATCATAGTCTTGAATACTAAGAATTTCATTCATTGTATTTATTAATGACGTTCTCAATAATATGTACCATATTCTTTATTTTTATTAAAATAATTTCATGAATTATGCCTTAAATATACTTATGATTTTAAATGGGGTAAAGGGTCATTTTTTATATTTGCGTGTCCCCTGTACTGATGAATATGAGCAATAGGAAAAAAGCTTTTAAATCAAAAGTTGCATGGTTTCTTCGTATCATCTTCCAGAATTGTCAAACAAAGCAATGGGCATCCCAAAATCTGAAAATTTAAAAATCTAAGTACCTACTTATGTATTTTTATTTTAAATGACACTAACCGTATATTCTATTATCTTTCAAATCCTCCTTAAATCCTGTTTCCATAAATATATAATATATCTATATTTGTTCCAGCTGTTTTTGAACTATCAACATCCAAAGTTTCTAAAACAAGCCACATCAGAAAATTAGATTTGATGCCTTGGCTGGTTTTCTTGCCTCGGCTATGAAACACTAGTTGCGGTATTGAATCTTCTGCTTTTCTACCTAGTGAAACAAAACCAGTTAACAAAAATATATCGATTAAAAAAATTACAACTTGATTTGAGATTGGGTATACTTACTTTTAGAGACTTCAGTATTCCTTAGAAATTCTGAGGAGCTCTTGACGGTTTTGTCTTTCACGTTCTCCCCGGATGACATTTAAATTTGTAGGTCATTTCTTTCGCATTCCCATTTTGAGACTAGACCGTCTCCGTGCAAGGCATCAAAGTCCTACCTACATAATGATAATAGGTATACATATTATAGAGGTAAAAGAGGTATACAACTTACCTTTAGAAAAAACCGGCGACAGGTATAATCGACTTTCTATTTAACACTTCGAACAACACAAAACCGAAAAAACCGACTTGAACGAAGTACGTAGCAATGCACCCAGAAAATAGAAATGTAATTATTCCTATTTCAACATATTTTTCTATGTCGTTGCCCGACTGCAGCTACCTTTGCGCATGTGCTTAGGAACTGTCTACATTAATGCTATGAACTGTTTCATTGTATTTATGATTTATCTTGATGTAATGGTTGCAGCTTTGTTTCTAGGAATACTTGCTTGTTTTAAATGAACCGTACATTCTATCAATGAATTTCGTTCTTAAAAGGATAAGTTTCTAGTAAGGTTATATGAACCATATTCATATTATTCATGTTAATATTCATTTATATTATGAATATTCCGTAGAAGCTCCCATCAAAGAAATTTTCTTTAACATCAAGGTTTAATTTCATAATATCAATGAACTTAGTTCTTGTAACCGATGCACTATTCAACGTAGATTCATGTAGATGACTATTGATAACTTAATGAAGCTTCATTCTTTATTTTAATGATAGCTGTTCATGAAATCATAATACTTACAGTTTTCTGTACTTGGGATTAATGAAAATTTCACTGAATCAATGAAAATGTAATTTATGAAAGCAGTTCATTGATATTATGATCAAGATTTTTTTGCGTGTAGTGACTGCCGTTGGTCGAGTTTCATCTTCATTCTGTCACTGGTCAGACGTAGCTTATTTCTGGCGAAATCGTCTACCAATCTAAGTCTGTGGAGATCAGCCACGTAAACTAGAAGTACAGCCTCGTCTTCATCGACTGGAGGCCTGCCAAACATTGAATCTATTGGAAACTTCATTTATCTTCCAGTCAGCAGCATAGATGGTGTATAGCCGGTGGACTCATGCCGAGAGCTTCTATAAGCCAGAAAGAAAAGAGGCACTAGATTATCCCAGTCTCGCTGGTGACCATCTACAAACATCGAGAAGTATTAATTGATGGTCCGATTGTGCCTCTCGACCATTCCGTCCGACTGTGGGTGAAGTGCAGTCGTCCTCGTTTTTCTTACTCCCAGTAACCTCATCAGTTGTTTCCATACTTCGGACTCAAAATTCCTTCCCTGATTGGTATGAAGTTCCATCGGTACCCCATGTCTGGATATGACGTTTTCCAGCAATAATTTCGCAACAGTAACTGCTTCCTGATTGGGTATGGGAACTACTTCTGGCCAATTTGAAAAATAGTCCATAGCAACCATGAGGTACTTTTTCCCTGATTCTGTCGTAGAAAAAGGACCTGCAATATCCACGGCAATTCTCTCCCAAGGGTAACCGGACAAGTACTGCTTCATTTCTCCACGGGATCACCTTTTGGGTCCTTTCTTAGAAGCACAGAGATCGCATCTCTTGCACCACTCTTCAACATCATCCCTTCGACAGTTGTTGATCCAATAGTACCTATCTCTTACTCGAGCCAAGGTGCTATTGACTCCAAAGTGTCCGCCACTCCTACTACTGTGCAGTTCTTGAAGGACTCTGTCCACCATAGTCCGTGGCACAACGGTCTGATATACTAGGTTTTTTTCATCTGAACTCTCCCATTTACGCGTGATCAAGTCATCTCGCAGGCACAACGAGTCCCATTGCAACCCAGTATCCCTTCACCGTTTGACTCAAACTGGAAAATTTTTGCCATCCAGGTTGTTGTCCGTCTTGTAGGCAGCCACACACCATTTTCAATTCCTTATCCATATTTTGTTGTTCTTCGAAGTCTTCTCTCGTAATGTCCTCATCAGTATTAGCGTCGTTGTCGGAATTCTTAAGCCTTATTTGTTGAACGACTCCAGAATTTTTGGTTGCCTCCTTTTCCTCTTGCCTTTGGCAGAATTTGCAAGAGCTGTCAATACATGGTCTTCGTGATAGGCTGTTGGCGTTGGCATGACTCCTTCCTTTGCAATGTTTGATTTGGAAATCATAACTTTGTAATTTCTCTAACCAACGCGCTATCTGACCCTCCGGATTTTTAAAATTGAGCAGCCATTACAATGCAGAATGGTCGGTTCTAACTAGGAACTTCCGGCCATAGAGAAAGCTGTGGTAATGCTCAATAGATCTTACTACTGCCAGAAGCTCCTTCCGGGTGACACAATAATTCTTCTTTGCCTTTCCAATGGAAGTATCCAATTACTACTTCTTCACCGTTTTGAATTTGGGAAATAACAGCCCCTATTCCACTTTGCGAAGCGTCGGTGTCTAACATAAATAGACCTTCATCCCTGGGATACGCTAGAACTGGAGCACTAGTCAATTTATTTTTCAGCTCCACGAAAGACCGCTGACATTCAGGTATCCAATCAAAACAAGCGTTCTTTTCAGTTAGTTCATGTAAAAGCTTCGCAATCTTTCCAAAATCCTTGACAAACCGGTAGTAGTAACTGCAGAGGCCCAGGAAGCTTCTAACTTCATGTTTATTCTTTGGTCTGGGCCAATCTCGCACATCTTGGACTTTATCTGGATCTGTCTCTATTCCTTTTGATGAGACGACATGGCCGAGGAAGTTTACTTTTTCCTGGAATAGGACACACTACTTGGAATTTAGTTGCAGATTGGCACTTCGAATCCTGGCAAAAACTTCCTTCAAATTCGACAGATGTTCGTCGAAATCTTTGCCAATCACCATGACATCATCCAGATATACCATGCACGTTTACCAAGTCATTCCTCGCAAAACTAACTCCATCAGTCTTTCAAAAGTGGCAGGTGCATTGCATAATCCAAACGGCATGACGTTAAATTGATATAGGCCATTTCCTACAGTAAATGCGGTCTTCTCTTTATCCTCTTTATTGAATTCCACCTGCCAATATCCACTTTTCAAGTCCAGGGTTGAAAACCACTAGGATCCTGATAGGGTGTTAAGGGTATCGTCAATCCAGGGTAATGGATAGCTGTCTTTCTTCGTAATATCATTCAACCTTCTATAATCCACACAAAACTTGGTAGAACCATCCTTTTTCGTAACTAGTACGACCGACGATGACCATGGACTATTAGATTCTTCTATAATGTTGTCCGTTAGCATTTCCTTAAGCATGGTGTTAACTTGCTGTTGCTTTGTGAAAGGGAGTCTTCGTGGTGGTTGGCTAATGGGTGTAGCAATTCCTGTGTTGATGCGATGATCTACCAAATTAGTTCGTCCAGTAATTTTATCTTGCACAAAAACACCAGCCTCTTTCTGCACAAAGTCAATAGCTTCCTTCTTTTCTTGCTGGCTTAAGTGATTCCAGCTCTTTTCAAACTTCTCCAGAAGCTCTATTGATAAATGTGCTTCATTTAACACACAGGCTCCTTCTTTGCGCATCTGACTACTCGTATAGCTGGTGTACATCTGCCAATGACGTCTCCTTCCTTCAATGTCACACGGTTTGTTGTTAGATTGGCCACTCTCACTGGAAAAATATTGTTGGAATTGGCTAAGCAATATGCCACAAGTTTTCCATTTTGCATGTTTCCTGTTGGTTCCACGCTTTCTAGCTGTTTTTCTAGGTGTGCCTGCACATTCGACTCACTATGTCCAGGAATTCGTGTATCTTCATCAACGATTATTCTAATTTGACAGTCCTTATTTGACGGTGATGAGAAGAGTATTTCTTCGTTGCCCAGTCTCAACATTTTATTTTTAAAGTCCACTGATAGGAAATCAAAGGTTTCTAGGACACCCACTCCCAATATTAATGCATCCACTATGTCAGAAACTATCACTTCTATCTTAAGTTCGGTGCTGCCTATTCCCAATGTCACGGTGGTCTCTCCAAAAACATCAAGCAGTGATTTATTTCTCAACATCATTACAGAGTCCTTAGAAACCTTGTCGGGGCGAACCACTGATCTTGATACCCCTTGATGACAAATCACATTTCTTGCCGTTGAGGGTGCCTTGGGAAACGAGACTTTCACAATTCTTCTTGATGGAGAGCACCTTTACTTTGGGGGCTCGAGAATCGGTGGTCGCCAGCATTCGCCCCCTTACACCGGCGAGGTGGCGTTTCCCTGGTGATGTCTGGAACTGGAACCACCTTCTTCCTCCGCTTCACGATCTCCTGAGCGGGAACGTCGCCCAGGGCCGCCGAGAGCCGTGTCGGGCCCCGGTAAAAAAATAATAACGGGTCCCCCCTCTTTTTTTTTAGGACTTCCAAATTTATAATGACAAGATTATTCCATTATAACCTCTGTTCCAACAGACATGAGAACCGTTCCAGAACTAGTTATTTCCATTTGCGCACCTATTAAGTTGAACATTTATTCTAATTGACAAATGAATTGATCGACTGGAAATTACCTTTCTCGAACGGTTCTCATGTCTGTTGGAACAGAGCTATAATAGGTAATTATGATGAACCCGGGCCTCCCTCCTCCTGTCGGGCCTGAAACATGCGCATTGCGCGAATTATTTATTAGGTATTGTGGAGCCGGTTTTCATGTTCATTTTGCCTTTTTGAGTTAATAAAGGTATAAAAACCAGTGTCTCATAGTTCATTACAGAAAAACAACTATGCACACAGAACAATAAACAACTCAGGGAATCCCCCAGAGCAGTGGCGTATCCAGCCTGGGGCTCTGGGGGGGGCATATCCGATGTCCAACAAATAAGTCAGGAATGTGAGTTGGTGGCTGCCCACGCCAATGGTCACCAGACCTCACATCTGTTTTTGCTGGATTTTTACTCCTCTCGCTCCTCATACAAAAAGTGTCAAATTAAAAATGCTAAGCATTACCTGAAAGAAGTATGACCTCCGAGCACCTAAAAGGGCTTCTGCAGCGTGTAATGTATTAAACTTTTCATTCTTCCCCTTCCTTCAAAAATTATGAATAGGCATGCGAAAGTGAAACATGCTAGTAGCGAAAGTGAAAGTAACTACTAGCATGTTTCACTTTCGCTTTCGCTCGCCTATGCAAGACAAAAAAATCTATTTTCGTAGGAGGGAAAATGAAAAAATTCTTCCTAGAGCAGCAAAAATAATTTGGATACTAGAGGAAAGAGTTTCTGTGCCGATGGAGGGCAACAGGGGCACTAATTTACTGTAAATTAATACCCAAATCAGTTTATTTGATTAGGTATATGCATATTTATTTGTAAAAAAATATAAGTTATCCGGGCCCTCCGCAAGCCCGGGCCCCGGTAATTTGTACCGCCTGTAATGCCCTCTCGTCGAGCCTGACGTCGCCTACAGTTTCTGCTAATATGTCCTTCTCGGCCGCAGTTGTAGCATTTGATCTGTTTTCTGGCTCTTGGTTCTTGGTCTAACTTCGCGCAGAACTCCTGAAACAGCGCTTCCAGTTTTAGGAACATATTTGCGTCTGAGTTTGGGCGATCCTTTGCTATCTTCACTTCACTGATCTTGCTTCTTCGATTTAAAGAGGCACTTTTGGCAGCTCCATATTCCAATTCATGAACAACGGTGTTATGCTTACTCATTCTCTTGTTGCAGGTCTTTATCTTCTAGTCCATCGATAAAGTACTGGACATTTATCTGTTCAATGAAGTCTTCAGGAGCTTGTGGATACGCCAATCTCACCATTCTCTCGATGTCGCTACTAAATCCTGCAGTGTCTCAGATGGACGTTGGACTCTGCTTTTGAGTTGACTCTGGTAGACTTGCTTGAGATACCTGTTTCCGTACCTCAGCTCTAAGGCTCCTACAACAGCTTCATAATCACTTTGTTTTTCCTCGGGAATATTTTGAAGAGTTTCAAGCGCCTTTCCTCGTAGTGCAAATACCAATGATGTTACTTTTTGCTGGTCATCCCATCCATTTGCACTAGCAGCGGCCTCAAACTGTCGTTTATACATAGACCATGATGTTTCGCCGTGAAAAGTTGGTGGGTTGAGTTGGTCGCGTACGATTGGGCTCACCGATACATCCATTTTGCTGGTATTTTCGTTGATATTGGGCTCTTCGTGAATTTTCTCCATTTTCTTCTCCAGTTTTCTATATTTTTTCTCGAATTCCTCTCGGATCGTCCCCATTTCGCCTTTGACTTCTTCTCGAACCGTTTCTATTTCGCTTTTGACTTCTTGTTGAATGTTCTGGAACAACTTAGCGATCCTGTCAATATCCCTCTGTCGTCTGTCTTCCTGTTCTTGCAAAATTTTCTGGAGCCGTCTTGCTCTTGCTGTCGCTTGTCCTCTTCTTCCTGTTTTTCTTTAAGTCGCCTGCTGTCTTCTTGTTCTTGAAGGATTTTCTGTAGTCGGTCCCGTTCTTCTTGTTTTTCTTTTGCTCTCTTCTCGTCCGCAAGTGTCAACAAAGCGAGCACCTGATTTAGCTGTTCTTCCATTTCGCTAGTCTGTTTTCTCGTATTTACCATAAATGCAAATTTCTTCACTCACTTATCGCACTTCTGACACCAATTGTTACTTATACGGGTTCGCAGATAAGTGAGATTTCTTTTTCGAACTTTATAGTAGATTATACCACGAGTCAATAATGATAGCTATTATTCCCGAGGATTATTACGAACTGAGCCGCGTTAGCGGCGAGGGAGTAACATTCCGAGGGAATAATAGCCATTATTGCGAGTAGTATACTCTACTTTATTTACGACAAATTAATTTATTTGAGATTTTCAATGAACAAATTTCATCCGTCTCATAATTTTCAATACAAATCCACAAGCACTACACGTTTGACACTGACACTTTTGTGGAATAATGACCATTAATCCCGCTACTCGTCATTAATCCCTGGAGGAATAACATATGTCATTATACTGCAAAAATCACAAATATAATACGCACTTTATACATTAGTCGTAAATAAACGAATTTTATTAAACAAATAACATTAAAATCACACGAAATTTAACACTATTTTACACTCCGAACTACTCCAAATAAAGCTTATGCGGCACGATTATTTTCGAATGTGGTGTTTTAGTTCCTGACTTTACAGTTTACTGCACTTGTCGTACGTCAATCAGAACTGATCCTTACGCGATGCGCAGGGGGGCTTTTATAGTTATGTGCGTCCTTCTCTAACACGCTCGAATTTTCGTGATTCAGTTCATCTTGAAAATAGTCGAATTTTCTGGCTTCTTTAACTGTAGTTACAGGGGGCAATCAAAAAGTACGAGTGGCGGGTTTATAGCAATAGTTTTAATTGGAAATGTATGAGAACGTGACTGGATAACTAAGGGCCGAATTTATAGTCCTTCCTTGAGGTTTCCTCAGACCTTAAGCAAGCCTTGAAGGTTTAGAATTGATATGACTAACTTGTCAAATAGTAGCAAGTGTCCATTCTAAACTCACGACCTCCAAGGAAGGCACAAGGAACGACCATAAATTCGGCCCTAAAGTTTGTTTCGCCAGGGTTTGTACTTGCCACCAGCATTTGCCTTCCTTGTTTAACAAATAAAAATTGACTGAAACAAATCAATGACGTCAAAAACGTTTGTCGGTTCTTAAACCAGAAGTCATTCATTTTCATTTGTCAAAAAATTGAATGTGTCATATGAATTAATCTACGAAAACCCTTTTTTTTCAAGTTTCAAGGTCAAGTATGAACCCTGGTGAAACGGACCTTACCTACATTTGTTTCTTTTGGGAGTAGGTATCTAAACAATTTGATTCGTTATAAACTTTATTAAATACACTTACATTTCATAAACAATGATAACCAACATTCCTAGGCAAAACTATTTATTAACTAACATAATTTTTAAAAACTGAATAAATTAATAATATGTATAATATTTAAATCTTTCGCTCACGTAACAACAGAAGACTTTGGTAAGAAATTTTTGAGTGGAAAATCATACGCCAAGTACATTTTTTGGGTTTCATACAAAACGCACAAAGTGCTTTTAGTTGAAATTAATTCCAAGCTCACTTAAACAATAATAGAAATGTATTAGAAAGATGGCTCTTAAGTTTAAAATAGAAATCCCGAGCGAAAGGATTAATTCAAACAAATCAATCAATAAGAATTTTCCGTTGTTGTACTGAACTCGTATCCATTATTTTGATTCTGATTGTTGGCGTTACCAACATGGAAGGATTTCAGCGATTGAAACTTAATTTGAGGTACTGGCAAAGCTGCTTGGAGTTGTTTGGGTTCTTCGTTGGTAGGAGTGACAGCTAGTTGCTTAGCCCAGTTATCCTGAAAAAATAACGAATATATAAAACTTCAACTACCTAAATAATATAAACTTTTCACTTATTCATGATATTGTAGCTACACAGTAGATTCAGCACTGTTAATAGTTCCAGAGCTGAATCATTGTAATCCATATAAATAAATTCTTACCAGAAGATCCGTAAGTTGTACATTTAATTGTTTCAACATCAACGTAAAAGAATGAGCGCGCGATCTGATTATTGAAGCTGTGTTGTGTTGGACTTGTTCGAGATGAGCAGTTTTAACGACCGACTCGGCTACACCGATGAATTTATTCACCAAAACGGTAACCGAGTAGGCGACGTTCCTGTTAATTTTATTGGCAACCGAAGCAGTGAAGTTGATCAAATGCACCATCCTCCGGGCAGATTCTCTAGTCAAAAGCACGATTAATTGTTCGACGTTTTCCGGACGAGCCTGATTTTCTGGCTCGTTTTTGCTCAAGCTGGCCCACAGTTCTTTGCCTTTTTGGAAAGCCAAAACTGGATCTGTAGCAACCTATATAAAACGAAATCCTTTGGATGTTTTCTTATGATATTGTTTGCTTACTTACAAGTTCAACAACATAAATTAAAACGTGTACAGCTTCAGCGCTGTGTTCTTTCAGTGCTTTAACTTCAGCAAGAGTCCTTCTTGTCAATCGTCTTTTTAGCTTCCTTCCCAATCTATCGGCATGTTGGAATGTGTGGATTGCTTTACCAGCTGGGCCTTCTACCGGTTTACCTATTACCAAATAATTAATCAATTCATTACTAGCTTCAGATTTCTTACCGTCTACTGATTTATCCGGTTCATCATCAGCTGGTAAATATTTGTCCACGTATTTATCAGCAACATTTAAAGCTCCATCAAGGGTGTCTGCTGCAAAAGCTGTATATCTGCTAGACAATACAGTATTACCAATTTGTTTTACTGAATCGGCCCTTTTCAACACTGGAGTTACTATTCTTGTGTTAACAGTATTTCTGGCGTATTGTTTGGTGTTCCAATAAATCTAAAAATTTATACAGTTTGATGTAAGAAAAAATCTCAAAATAAATAAATAATATATTTCTTACTATTTGAGGTGGTAGATTGATAGATGGAACTTTTTCTTCAACAATATCCAAAGTTTTGCAAATAATTTTATCAACTTGCGACAAGGGTCCTTGGAACAATCCAATAGCTGGTCCAGCCGTATCCATCACTGAATACAAAGTGTTTTCGGCTTGGTCCAGAGTCCAATAAAATAAGCCGTTTGATTTTTTAATTTTTTGATAAATATCCCCAGCATAGTTTACACCGGTTTCAACTATTGGCAGATTGTAGATTCTGTTGACCGATTCAAGCTCAGGCATGTTCAGAGTTCTTTTCCTGGTTTGGACCACTGGAATAGAAAAAAATGGAATAAACACAAATAAATTAGTTCAAATTACCAATAATATATTCGGCAATTAAATCCGGAAAGTCGGCAGGCGGAAAGCTATTGTTATTAGCAAATATCATTGTTAAATTAATTTGGTTCACTATATTGCTCGAAAATTGCCACTAATGATTTGGTTGTTTAGTATTAGTTTTGTACTTTGCCATAGACAAAGTTTAATTGCTGTTAATTTAAAATTTATCGATCGTCCATATACGTAATTTGTGACAATGTTTTTCTTCTAATTGACGTACATACAAAGGCAAAATTGACGTGGAAAAAACAGTGACTACAATAAGGTTTTAATGGTTTTATCAATATTTTGCAATAAATTCGCATACAAAATAATATTGATATCAAATAAAATTCATACTTTCTGATTGCTGAATATCGTCAGTTTGTACTGCCACGGAAACATAACGAATTATAATTGTTTGAGGAGTGGACTGTTGTTCGTGAACTACGACAGTTTTCACTGTTGCCCTTTTGTATGATCGCTTTTTTTTAGTACGGTGGGCCATTTTAGTATGATCAAATACACGTAATATATCACTGCTCTAAACTGATCACGTCGACCGCACAAAAAATACTAATTATAACGCATTATTATCAAAATTTACAAATAAATTTATATCAAATTTGAAGATATAAAAACAAAAATACAAAGAGTAATAGTTATATTGGGAACTCGCATCATTTGATGGTTTAGTTAACTGATAATGAACTATATATATTTTAATTACATTAACATATAAAGGATTATCTGAGTTTATGTAATAATTAATATCGTTTTTTTACTCATAATCTACAGCACCGTTAAAAAAGTACCCTGATCTTAATTACAACGATAATTATTATAGCTATACCCAGTTTATTTTTTAATCTTATAATAATTAATATTATTTGCTCATTATTTACTTTGAATTTGAATGAAAGAGTTCGCAAGCTCAATAACCAATAAACAAAGCATTGTAAGTATGTAGTAATTACTATTACAATCATTGACAAACTCGATCATTGAAATAAAAATTATTGTAAAAACGTTCAACAAATTAATGCCGGATGATACAGATCAGTATCGAAATGCTGACTTATTGGATTCAAATTTTCAAAAATTGATTTGCTTCACATCAAGTTGTGAAGAGGCAGTTCAAATATTTGAAAGGAACGAGGAAGTTAAAACTATGGTTTTCCAAAACAAGCCTACAAGTTTTCAAGGAATTATCAGACAGGAGTTCTATCATCATCATCATTTATCTTTGGTTCGTCCACTGCTGGACATATTATGCCACTTCGAGACATCTCAATTTTTTCCTGTCCTGCGCGGTTGTTATCCAGTTGGTGCTTATCATTTTCACGGCATCCATCCATCCGTGGGCGGTCATACTCGGCTTCGTTTATCTGCTGTTGGTCGTCATTCTAGAATTTTCATGGTCCATCTACCATCGTTTAATATGGCAATATAACCTACCCATCGCCAAAACGATGCTCGTTTGTTGGGCTACTTCGGAAGCCCTCAAACTGTAAAACCCGCAGTTGTTAGTGGTTATGTCTCGCAGACATTCGAGGGGGGTCTTTGCTTAAACGCCCAGACCGAGTGGTTTGAGAGCCACAATAAATAATCTCCCCAAGTCAAGGTGGAACAGCGAGTGCCAAAGACTGCATGGCCAAGGGGATGCTTGGTCGATAGCTTGCGAACTCCGCAGACCAGGCAATCTACAAGACTTTAAGTTGCCCCCTGTAGTATGGGGCTCTGCTACAGGCGATTTTTACTTCCCCAATACTCGTGGGACTCAATATGAATGATCCAAAAGTAAAACCTCTAGGGGTCGAGAACGACCCCACTACCTCGGGGGACAGCAATGTCCCTAAAAACTTGAAGGAATGTGATGTCCTTATACATTCAGGAAACAACAATGCCCCAAACACTGAGACTCAGGCAGAAACGGAAATGGGCTCGCCTAAAAGCCTTGACGATCCAGCAAATGAGTCAACATCCTCTGGTGAAAGTGAGGCATCAACCTCCCAGAAGTTTTGCAAGTCGTTAACCGACTTGAAGCTGAAAAGGAAGAACCTTAGTGGAGCCGCGAGGAAGCACTTCAAGTAGCTTATTAAGAAAGGTCACAGCAGTGAGGAAGCGCGAAAACTGGCAGAACAGCCAATAAAGCAAGAGCGGTACGATAAAAATTCCAACAAAAGGACTCGATCTGACGGCTCAACCCCAGAGGCAACAGCCAAAAAAATTAAAGATACCACCAGGGGCAGCCAAAACGGCCCCACCACACAAACCTTATACAGCCGCATTTCCTACAAACAGGCGGTTCAAGGCATCAAGGTGGGCATCACCTATAAAGACTTTCCGGGGGTGCAGCTCAGTACGGAACAGCTTGAAGCTACCCAGGCTGCACTTCTGCAAAAAAATTTGCAAGAAAAGGATGGGGTTTTAAAACCCAAGTTCCTATCCTGCACCTTCCAACCAGGGTTCGTAGTGATCACCTGTGAGGATGAAGACACAAGTGGGTGGCTATTCCAAACGGCGGAGACCTTAAAGCCCTGGGATGGGGCTGCACTGAGGGCAATGGAGCAATCCAGAATTCCTCGGCCGCAAATCTTTGTGGGACACTTTCCCAGTAGTTCAAATAGCTTCAACGAGGAAATACTTGGTCTTCTCAAAGGCCAAAACAAGGGACTGAGCGTTAAGGACTGGGGAGTCCTCAAAAGAGTGACCGAGAGGACTAACCATTTCCATAGACCAACGGTCTTATGAAAACCTGAAGAGGTTCATAAAGGTCCCAGCAATAATTAAAAGGCTTGTTCTATAATTTTCGGACCCAATTTACTGGGTCACCCTATATACTTAGAGATTTGGTGCAATCATGAAAAATGCTCATTTTTGCTAACTACAACATACCAAACTTTTAAAAAAAATCGACCGGTCCCCGAAAACACATTAGATGTCCTTTGGTGGCACTAAGTTAAGTTTTCCTAAACATTTCACTGGTGTAAACGACGTTTAAATAAATGACGTTGGTTCGGATTCAGTTGCGTGCAGTGACGTTTTAACCTTTCTCTGGCCCGTAGGTCAATTATTTGGTATGGCCTTTCATGGCTTTCATGAGTGATTGTTCTTTTTTATGGGGTTGAATAAAATCATTCAGACGATTTCAAACTACTAAAAAACCACAAAAAAATATTTAATAACACTATATTTCAGGAACAAACGAAAAGAATCGTATGCGATTCTCGAAGATTTTAGATAACACGTAGAAATTCGTGAAGTTGAAAATCACACGATCAGACTTGACACCATAAATATATCTACGGACAAACAACAAACGGCTTATACTCTGTCTAACCAAAGTTGAACGTTAAAGGTCACTTACTACTACTTGTAACCATAGGTCCAGGAGGTGGCGCCAAAAACATGCAAGAGTTTTCGCAAGGCGGATATTTTCAAAATAGGTCGTACTTTAGTGCTAGAATGCTAGTGTACAGTCAGCACTCACAGTTCCGGGACAGCTGGCTCTGGGACGCGGGCAAAGTTGTAATTTTAAGAAGCATCTAAACTGTTTTCTCAAAGCTCAAAATTTATAGAAATTTTGCACATTATCTGTTTGAAGGTCACAGATAACGTATGTAAATCGTCAGACGTCTAGTTCGTTCCAAAAAGGGGGTCAGACGTCCTCAAAGTTTTTATTTTATGACATTTTCTTTAAATATATTTGTCAAATACCTGCAAAAATATGTTTTGACAGGACACCGAAGAAAATGCTATAAAATAAAAACTTTGAGGACGTCTGACCCCCTTTTTGCAACGAACTAGACGTCTGACGATTTACATACGTTATCTGTGACCTTCAAACAGATAATGTGCAAAATTTCTATAAATTTTGAGCTTTGAGAAAACAGTTTAGATGCTTCGTAAAATTACAACTTTGCCCGCGTCCCAGAGCCAGCTGTCCCGGAACTGTGAGTGCTGACTGTACACTAGCCTTCTAACACTAAAGTACGACCTATTTTGAAAATATCAGCCTTGCGAAAACTCTTGCATGTTTTTGACGCCAGCTCCCCATACTATTTTGGTTTGATAAACACAGTGCGCGTGCTTAAAGACAGCAGCAAAAAGCAACGTCTGTGATATATTCGAGTATGTGACTTTCTCAACGTTCAACTTTGGTTAGACAGAGTTTAGCGCAAACACTAAAGCTCAATTCTCACTTGCGTTGAAATTCGCTCTTTTTTGACATTACTTCAACAATTTGACGTTTGATACACACATAAAACTTCAAATTTTCGAAGCAATGTCAAAATAAGAGCGAATTTCGCGCAAAAAGACCGAATTTCGCACAAGTGAGAAGGAGGCATAACAGGTTCCTGCTGTAGTCGTTGCCAGTTGCCACGTGCCCACGTGCCGGTGCTGCGCTTGACGCGACGGCGAGTCTGCGCAGCTCTGTGACTGACCTTAGGGCGTGTTCCGGATTGATGCTCGATGGAGCGAGCGGAGCGATTCCAGAGCATCGTGACGTCAGGCAGTGCACTCTGGCCAAACCAAATGTACTTGTGCAGTGTGAATGATAAGAATTAAGGAGTATTGAAATATGTACTAATCCTGCTACTAAACAAGTCGATGTTTTTAATATAAAGTTTGTTTTTTATTTAAAGATAATTCCCCAAGTCAAAAATTTAGTAACTATGTTGGCAGCACAAGCCTTTTCTACAAAAAAAATTTGAAAGCATTGACAATTTTACATTGTATTGCCAACATAATGTCATTTTGACTTTTATCTTTAAAAAAAAAACAGGCTTTAGTGAGCTTTTATATTTTAAAGTCCAACAGTTGGCCTTCCATCCTCAGTGGCCCGTAGGACATGACCTAATTGTCCTAACGGATAAAGTGTCCCTGGTTGCGTGGCCACCCAAATCCTCTGGATTTTTATCAGAATAATGAGTAAAGTGTACGAAACACCACTCAAAGCGTAAATTTCTCAGAGGAATAAAAAACTATAGAGTGAGCATAGCAATCATAAATACGTTATTGTTTGTATGCCATTGACAACGCCCATTCTAAGCCGAAATTTCCTTAAATTTAGGGAAAAATGTATTTTTTCTAAAGGATTTCAACGCCGCTTTGTTAGAAAGCTTTCCACCTGCTTTACTCCACCTGAATGATCATAGGCGTGCGGAAGGAAGGTTAAATGGTGAAAATATTTCTATTTAGTGACAAAAATCAAGCAAATTAAAAAAAAAAGTTCTGCTTCATTAGCAGAAACATGAAAACAAAACAGATTCTGGGGAACTTTTGATCAATAAATCATTTTGATACAGATCTTAGGAATTAGGTCTACTATCTAAAATGAAATAAATACAGCAGTGTTAGATCAATCAAATTTATGCTACATTACAAAATAATACAAAAAAAAGGGTCCCTACGTTTGGCTATGAGACTACATTCTTCAATATTTGTTCCTCAGTTTCTGAAACTGTTGAGGTAGTTGATGAGGACTGAGAGAAAGTCATTTGAAAGTACTCGGAGCATCAAAAATTCTAAAAAGAAAAAATTATAACGGAGCAATCCCTTG